AATGACTACTTGTCAGATAACAGGATGTTAATAATGGCAAGTCAAGGGGTTTCTCCTTTAAAAATGGTGAGAAGACTGAAGTCACAGTTTACTGTAAATTCTTTCTGGGTTTAAATCCACAAATGTTGATCATTGGGGAGGTCTAATATCATCAGGCTATTTATTTTAGAATTCATAGTATTAAGTTTAAAGATTGTTACAAGTCAAAGGTAAAATTTTTTGCATAAGAGTGAATTTTCTAATCTAGTTCTTACATGTTCTTCTTTATCACTTGTTCCCTTAAGATTAGATCTGTATTTGAATACAACAAAAAACCCCAAACAGTTTTGCTTTGGTAAATTAATGATACATTTTTCAGGAATACAAATGCTTTAACTGAAACTCACTCCATATGAGGCATTTTTTTCAGTTTTACCTTTCATTTAGAAAGAGTTTTAACATTTAATATGTGGATATAAAATAAGAAATACTTTCCCAAAGAATTTTGGAAGTTTTTTTTTTAATTTTATCATAAAACTGTCAAAAGTATAGACTTTTCTAAATACATTTTTTTCCCCATCCCTGTAAGATTTAGTTCTGAAAAAGAAGATAGAGCAGTAGCTGTCGTGGAAGTCAGGAGATCCGATTCTGGTCTTGGTCTACAACTAATTAGCTGTATGTGACCTTAGGCTGTTCATTTAGCCTCACTGGCCCTTATTTTCTTACCTGAAAAATGAAGGTGTTAGATTTCATGATCTCTCAGGTCCTTTTCAGTTATAAAATGCTAAGATTCTATGAAGTAAGTTTTGTAGTAGTTGTGCAGTTTAAGATTTAATGAAGATACATTTTATATATGTGTGTGTGTGTGTATATTTCGTATATTTAGTTATTCTTTGAGTTGTCCAAACACTTGCTGAATATTTTTTGTCTTCTGTGCTCGATGTCAGACATCTTAACTGATTAAGACAGGTATGCACCTTGCCATCATGGACTAGTGTGGACTGGAGAAGAATGGAATTAAACAACTGTTATTTAATTAATTATTTTATCCAGTTGTAGTATGTACTAAGATTGAGTAGCAGAGTGAGAGAAGTAGCAGAAAGAACGAGCACAGGCGTCCTGGGAGAGCAGATCAGTGAGAGAGAACAGTATTTACAGAGGTCCTGAGAGAGGATCCTGGAAAGCTGAAGAATTAAGGGAAGGCAGAATTCCAGAGTGAGTCACACAAAATATGGCTGGTAAGCTGGGTAGGCATCAGATCGTAAAATGGTTTGTTGACCATTTAAAGATTTTGGTTTTTATGCTAATATTATGTAATTACGTCCTTGGTGTTAACATGGTCCAAGAGATGCTAATACCTATGAAATACATTTTTTGTATTAGAAATGCATTTTCTGTCAATCACTGCACTATCATGACATCAGGTCCATAGCTTTTCCCTGTACCCTTTCACTCTGTAACAGTGTTTTAAGATATGATAACGTAATGGTATTTTCAAGGTCAGTGTAATAAAAACTACTTAATGTTTGTTAAAGCCAGAGAAGTTTTTCTTTTTGGATTATCAGTTTCATATTTTCTTTGCCCTTTTCCTGCTTATTAAGTGTAATGACTGGAGAATTTTTAATAGTTTATCCATTAAAAATTAGCAAATGAATATACTAATTATGTGGTTTACATTTTTGTTACCTGTTGATTTACATTTTGTTACCTGTTGATTATATCACCACTGGTTGTGTTAGCATGTAAAAACCATTTGTTTAAATGCAAGTAAGTTGTTGGATTTTTTTTCCTTGTAATTGTTCGTTTTTAAAGAACACTTATGTTAAAAAGACCTGTACTGATTTCATTCATTTTCTCTGAGTCTGATTTGCAGTAGAAATATTCCTATTGGCTAAATTAATTGTTTAATGATGAGGATTCACTCTTTCTGAGGCACTGTGACACGAAAGGGAAGTGACCCCTTTACTGGTATGTGAGAATCCTGAGTTAGTTCAAAGATTTCAGTCATACCAAGTGTGTTTTAACTCAAGACATTCATGCAAAGATAGTGATTAAAACCTTATCATTTTTAGTAACATGGCTATGATTCTCAGGCTGGTTCCTTAATACTATTTTCGTCCGATTGAGAGATGCCTACTCTGGTATGTCAGAATGCTGCACTCTTCCCACTGACCTGTGTCATTCCCATTCTTTTTTTTTTTTTAACATTTTTTATTGATTTATAATCATTTTACAATGTTGTGTCAAATTCCAGTGTTCAGCACAA